ACATGTGTGATGAGCCTCCTCCTGAGCAGTGGAAAATTTAAACAGTAAAATGTTATTCTTGAAATAGATGTTATTTAATATTTAAGACAGGTCCTCCTTGTTCTTGACATTATTATACCCAGATTCAATTTCAGGAACTCTAGGGGTCCCTGTAGTTCGAATGAACTAATTAAATGCATGGAATGTTCCTCTGCAGTTTCCACTGACCATCTGGGGGCCACAGTGCATTTTTTAAAATAAAACAGCTAAAGTCTGAAAATAGATGGAGTTCCCCACCCGCCTTACCTACTAGATGGTGTAGGGGTTGGGTGGATGTTCTAAGTTAATTCATTGATTTGTTCGTTCATATGCCAAGCATTGTAAAATCCAGTGGGAAGAAAAATTAAACATGACATAGTCCCTGACGTCCAGGAGCTTGCAGGAAGGCAGCAGCACCTGTGACTGGGGAAAGCCGAGTGGCCACTGGAGGCTCGTCCACAAGGTGGGTGGGTCAGCCTCAAGCTTCTCTTAGAAGGAATGGGGGTGAGGGGCTGGAGGCGTTGCTGGCGAATGAATGTAAACTCCACTCCTGGCATCTTAAGTTGGGGGTCACCTAGCGACATGTGGTCTCTATGTAAAGGTCAACAGAGATGCACCAAAAACACCCCAGGAGATTTTGATATATTTTTGGAGTGGATTGAACAAAATAGAAATGGAGCGTGATGGGGAACTATTTCAGTTTCTGCTGGAGTTAAAACTGATCATTTAAAAAAATTATATCCCAATAGTTTGCTCAGTTTCTGCCTCTCTTAATCCAAATCCTGATGTAAAGTATTCTACTTGGAAACTGAATGAAAATGTTTTTCAAGGATGTTCTCAGGGTATAGCTCTGGTACTGAAATCTGAGGGACTCATACATTTAACTGGCAAAGACCATTGAAAGCAAAATTTTCCAAAAGGGGGGCCGGCCCTGTGGCCGAGTGGTTGAGTTTGGGCGCTCTGCTTCTGCGCCCGGAGTTTCAGCTGGTTCAGATCCTGGGCTCGGACATGGCACCGCTCACCAGGCCACGCTGAGGTGGTGTCCCACATGCCACAACTAGAAGGACCTACAACTAGAATATACAACTATGTACTGGGGGACTTTGGGGAGAAGAAGAAGAAAAAAAGAAGATTGGCAACAGATGTTAGCTCAGGTGCCAATCTTAAAAAAAAAAAAAGTAAAGGCTCAGGCTGTGCCTGTGGAAATCTAGTCATCATTATTTTGAACAAAACCTTTAAAAATAGCATTTACCATCAGGGGTCCAGTCTTAATTAGAACTGAAGCTGGCAGGAAGCAGCTGTGTGCAGGCACGAAAAGCAGCTTCCGTCAGAGGAGATTCCGTCCCTCGGCACCGGCGGGCCTTGGGGGTCTGCCCCTCACTCCCACGTGGGGTTCGCAGGGTCCACCGTGGCTCTGCGCTCCGTCTGCAGCTGGAGGCCACATTTCTAGATACAAGAAGTTTCAACGTTTCGTCAACTTTAGTGTTCTGGGTGGTTTTCTTTTTATTCTGGAATCCATAAGGAGGAGGGCAATACGTTTTTAACCATTAAATGTCAACAACGCATGGTCCCTGATTTTACAAAAACATATAAACACCAAATTCCATTATTTCACGGTTTTGTAGTGGGTGAGGGGTGGTGGTAGGACACAAACGAGCGAGGCCTTTGGCATGCGTGGAGAGGTGGGGGCTGCAAACACTGTCTTGACCAGGCCCACCAGCCCGGGGCCAGCTCGGTCCGCGCCCCCCGGGAGGGGGGCCGCCGCGTGTGCAGGCGACGTGCCGCCAGTGGGCGCCGCTGTTCTCCTCGAGCCCCCGCGTCTCCGGGAACGCCGGCGCCCTGGACAGGGTTAGGGAGCGGGGGCGCCGAGAGGGAGCCCCCGCGGAACCGCAGCCCCTCGGCGCACGGGCCCCGCGGCCGCGCCGGGGCGCTCCAGCCCGAGCCTGCACGCCCGCCCGTGCGCACGCCCGTGTGCACGCGCACCCTCCCGCTCCGCCCCGCCCCGCCGCCCGGGCGTGCTCCTCGGAGCCGCGGGGCCTCCAGGACGCGGGTGAGTGCCGGGCCCGCCGCCGACCCCCGCGGGGTGGGGGAGAGCGCTGCCCGGGCGGGGCGTAGGGGGCCTCGCGGAGCCGGGGGCGGCCGCGCGCTCACGGGCGCGCGGACAGGAGCCGGAGGAGCCCCGGGCGCTCGCCGGCGCGCGGGAAGATGCTAAGCAGCCCGCGGGGCGCTCGCACAGGTGCGCGGAAGGCGGCCGCCCCAGCCCCGGCGCTCGCACAGGTGCGCGGGAAGAGGCCCATGCGCATGCGCGCCGGAGACCACCGGCGAGGGCTCCGCGTCCCGGGCTCGGGTGGGCGCCGGGGTGGAGGGCGAGGCGCAGAGCGGCGAGGTAGGGGTGGGCCCCAAGGGGAAGGCAGCGGCGAGGCGCCCCCGGAGGCGGAGGATAAGGGCAGCGGGTGGCGGGGACTAGCGCAGAGGCGGGGGAAGTGGCCGCGGGGGCGAAGGAGGTGGCCGCGGGGTGGCCCTGCTCGTGGTGGGGGTGGGGGGAGTGGCGTGGGCGGCCTCCGTCCCTCCCCGGGCGCCCGCGTGCAGCGTTGGGGGCCAGCCCACGGGGATCCCCCAGTGCCCTCCTCCGGGAAGCGGGTGGCGAGGGGGACGGGCTACCGCGCTCGGTCTCGAGGACGAGCCCCGCGCTGCGCCCGCGCGGACCACCTCCGAGGACACGGCCCCGGCCGCCGATCGGTGTCTGCGCACCCAGCCCCGCCGGAGCCAGGCCCCCGCGCTCCCCGCGCCCCCGCCGCCGGGCCGAGCGTGCTTTGGGGATTCGGCCCCCGGGCGCCGTGGCCACGTTTGCGGCTGGCGGAGGCCGGCCGGTCCCCCTCCTCCGAGGGGCTGGCCTGGGCCTGTGCTCTGCACGGCCTGGGCCCGCGCGGAGGGGAGGGACGTGCTGGCGGCTTGGCCAGAGGCCGGGCCGCGTGTCCGCTGGCACCGCACGATTTCTCCCCCATCGCCCCTTCTGTGCGCCCGGCGGCCGCGGGCCGGACCCCCAGGGCCTGCCCTGGATTGCTCGGAGCTCGTGCGGGGCGGGGGTAGGGGGTGCGGGGCTAGTGAATACCGAACGCTTTCTTTTCACGGAACCTGTGCCCCACTGACCGAGCCAGTCCGCCCATGCAGTGCCGTCGCCTGTGTTTGAACGTGCCTGACATCACGATGGGGGCGGGGGTATAAAAAGGAGCATTTAAATAAACACCGCGTGTGACTAGCTCACCCCACACCAGCGACTTAAAGATGTCTGGAGTGGAGTTTAAACTCACTTGCCAGCCGCACCTCCAGCCCCCCCCCCCCCGACCCCGCCCCAGGGCTGGGGAGCCCCCTCCTGCGCGGGTCTGGGCGGGCTTCGTGGGGGGGGTGGTTCCCTCTGCTCAGGCGTGGCTGCTCCCCTAACAGTAAATAAGAAAGATCTTAAAAAATTCCACCACCTCTTGGGTTCCTACGGAACGATGTTCTCTCTCTCCACCTCCCCCCCCCGCTCCATATCTATTCTAAGGGAAAAGAAAAAGAACAAACCAGTGTATGAAGCTTCATTTCTACTGAAACCGCTCAAGGCCCGTTACCGTCAGATTTCAAATTCCTGCACGTCCCCTCCAGCACCGAGTGAACCAAGAGTTCGCTCTGTTCCTGGCCTGTTCTCGGCGCCTCCTTCCATTTCTCATTAAACAGCCGTTCCTCGGACTGTAATTAGGAACCGCTCGTGGATGCGGGGTCGCCCTTGAGCCCTGTATCCTCAGCTAATGGCGCCCTGTTCTTAGAAACTCCTGTGGGCGGCCTGGAGCGCAGAAGGGCTTTCCCTGGCCTCTGACGTGCTCCGGGGCAGCCTGCCTGGGGCCTTCCGTCTCTCGCTTCTGGGTGTAACTACGCCATAATTATAATGAGATAAAAAGCTTTTTGAGCTTTTAATGGCAATTGCACTGGGATTGCTGGTAATATAGTTAGAACACACAGAATGAAAAGAGTTAAAAGATTTTGCTTATAGTGTTGAAGGCAATCTTGGGCTTGGGAGGAGAGGGGGAAAAAACGAGTTAAATGTTGTCATCTTAGAACAGGACTAAATACATCCCCAGGCAGCCTGACTTTCTATGCGGTCGTCTTGCCTTCCTAGTGCCTGGGCGTGCATGTAGGGACGGCCCTACGGGGACCCTCAGAGCACTTTGCCTGTCACTGGGAGATGGAAGAATCTGAAACTGTGGTGGTGAGACCACCCTGCATCTTTGAACATCTTTTCAGACAGTCTCTATTGCTTCTGATTCTATTTGCATACATCCCAAGACAAGAGGCAGGCTTGGCAATGGGAGAGCAGAAGGTCTCTTTTTAGCTTAAAATATGATTTTGGCGTGTTTGTCCCTAGACTGAGACAGAGAGGCTCTCCAAGCTCGGAACGTGCCATCTGGGATCACATTTCAGTTTTCTAAATACCAACAGCATAAACGGCTCACGAGTAATAGCCTCACAGGACTTCCTGAGGCAGCTGTGATGCCCCTCGGTCCCGCACCCCCCAGGCTGTGTGACGCAGGAGGACCACTGCCGAATGGGCTGCGGAGGGGCCTGGGGAGGCGGCCGGTTGGCGGAACAGGAGCCAGCTGTGGCATTTTGAACATCTTGCCCCCGTGACCCAGGGTGATGTCTGCTCTCCCCTGGAGTTCACGGGATGATTGTCCCCATTGTGGCCTGGATTTCGGTTTTTCTCTTGCAATTATTGTAATTATGCTAAAATTATAGTGTTGGTACCCAGCACATATTTTCGAAATTGTGAACGATGAGCAGTAACTTTTGGAATAAAATAAAAATTTCTAGGAGTTTACCTTTTGCCAAAATCCAGCTTCTGCTAGAAAGGATATTAAAGTAAGATAAACAATGCCTTGGAAATGGAAACTGTTGCATGTCCTGTGCAATGTTGGACGGATTAAAAATTAATTTCCTTCTTTCAGAAATAGAGTTGAATGTCTACCTCGGGTCACGCAGTGTTCCAGGTGCTGGGGATACAATGGCGAGTGAAATAGACCCCGTCCCCTACCCCTTGCAGCCTAGACTCTAATAAGGTAAATGGCATTAATTATATAATCATGTTGATTCATGTGTGATAACAATCGAGACCAGAGCTCTGAAGGAAAAGAAACAATTACAAAAGCATCTGAAGGATAGGAAGGGAGATCACATGCAAAGGCCCTGTGGTGAGGAGTAGGGCCCATTGGAAAGTGTAAGGGAGGCTGGCAAGGAGCACCTAGAGTGGAGTGTCCTATTTGTCACATAATATAGTTTTATTACTAAATTAGTTGGGGCGTTTCCTTTATGTAATTGATGGGGCTTTACACTTCAGGGCTTGATGGGTTAGGATGTGGATTAATTCTACAGAACTGAGATCTACTGAATCACAAAGGGAAATCATTAAATAGGATGAGGTAGATGAAATGTTTCATCGGCTGATAGCCACTGTACCAATGGCTGACGCTATTCTTACTGTTTGGTTATGGAGTCCCAGAGTCGTGGGGCTTTGAGCGTGTAGATACCAGATCTGCAGGCTTTGTCGGAGCCACTGCCTTTGGGATGGTTTCACTGGTGCGGAAGTCTCCCTCTGGCCTCTACACATCGCTCTTTCCCCTCTGGCCAGTTTCTCATGCACAGAGTGGTTATTTACAAACATAAATCTTATTATGTTGGGCGTCAGTCGCTTCCCACCATCGTGGGCTGCAGTCCACAGTTCTTGTGTGGGTCATAAGACCCTCTTCCAGTTAATATGGTGGTTCTGCAAACCACCCCACAAACTTGGCGGCTGCCACAGACAGAGCATTTATCTCCCACTGAAATTCATACGTTGAGTCCTAACCCCCAACGTGACGGTGTTTGGAGGTGGGACCAAAGGGAGGGGATTAGGTCGTGAGGGAGGAGCCCACTTGCATGGGTTTAATGCCCTTGTAAGAAGAGACTGGGTGAGCTTGTTCTCTCTCAGCCGTGTGAGACACAGCGAGAAGTCTGCGACCTGGAAGAGGGCCCTCACGCAAGCATGCTGCCACCCTGATCTCGGACTTCCCAGCCTGCAGAGCTGTGAGAAATAAATATCTGTTGTTGACAAGCCACCTACTCCATGGCATTTTTGTGATGGCTGCCTGAATGGCCTAAGTGGCTTAAAAACAAGACCATTTATTTTGCTGACAGGTCCACAGGCCAAGTAGGGGGTGGGCACCGCTCACCTCCATGCTGCTGAGTGTGACGTGGGGCAGACTGGAGGCTACGAGCTTGCACCACCCCAGGGCTCGCTGACTCACTCGTCTGAGGTCTGGGCCGGGCTGATCCAGACAGGAGGGGCTGGAGCGCTGAGGCCCCGGAAGGCCGCTTGCTCGCTCTCTGATCTCCCCGTGTGCGTTCTCCAGGGGCAGCTTCAGTGCGGCTGGACTCTTACGCGTTGACTCGCGGTGACTCAGGACCGTGTCCTGAGACGATAGAGCCCAGCTGGAAGCAGCACCCCTTTCCTGACTGGCCTTAGAAGCCGTACTGTGTCACTTCCCTTGCAGTCACAGGCCTGCCCGGATTCCGGGGGAGGGGACATGGACCCCAGCTCTCAGTGGAGGAATGTCACCTCACATGCTAAGATCATGCTGAACAGGATACATCCAAGGCGCCGTCTTTGGAAAATACAATTTGCCACAGTCCGCTCTCTGACCAGGAAATTCACATCCCTTCCATGTGTAATGACGTGATCCCCTGCACCAAGATCCCCAAAGCTCACCCTCGCATGGTGTGGTGTCAGTTTTGGGCTCCAGGTTCAGGACACATACCCACACACCAAAGAGAGGATGTCTTCCCCAGATACCCAACATGCAGTGATGGGCAGGCCTAGGGTAAGTGCTATGGAGTCTTGTGTTGGTCAGAGCCACTAGGCTGTACATATTTATACAGAGAGAGAGAGATTTATGTCCACGTGTTGGCTTGTGTGATTGTGGGAGCTGGCAAGTCTGAAATCTGGCAGGTGGGCTGCCAGGCGGGAGACCCAGGCAACAGCTCATGCTGGAGCTCGAGTCGGAAGGCCGTCTGTCTGGAATTCTCTCTACCTGGGAGGACCTCAGTGTTAGACTGGATGAGGCCCACGCGCAATAGGGAGGGCAATCTGCCTCACTCCAAGTCTACCGATTTAAATGTTAATCTCTGCTAAAAAATACCCTCACAACAACATGTAGACTGTTGTTTGAGCAATTATCTGGGTACCATGGCCCAGCCAAGCTGACATATATAATTAAGCATCACAACCCTCCTGTTCAAAAGGGGAATGTGGAAGGCACTCAGTGGTCTCTGGCCCGTGGCAACCCCGGATTGCAGTCCGGCTCAAGTTGGCAGTTCCTTGATGGGGCTTGGTTGTAATTCCTGGGAATGACTTTCCATTGCTCTTGGCTCTGCCTTCTGGATTCCTGGATCTGCTCTCCAAGTCATCCTTCCTTTTCCATAAGACATGCCTGGTGTTTGCAGCCGAGTGGTTTTCTCTGCCTGCTTCCTGTTTTCATTTTGCGCTGTCTCTGTCCCATTTAGTCCAAGCTGGCATTGTTTCTTCCTGTATAATTATCTTAAAAGCCTTGTGGGTTTTTTATGGATCTATTGGGATTCATGCCATTAGACAAAAGCTACACCCACAAATCTCATTAACATAAGTCCTTTCTCTACTTTAGACTTCCTGCAAGGCTGCTGTGAAAAAATGTCCTTAAATTCCTGAAGTTCTATTATTTATTGATGAGCATCTGCCAGGCATGCCCTTAAGATCCTCAGGGGGCCTTTTGTCTGGCCCTTCTCTGCAGCACCCTGTCAGGCATTGATGAGGTCTTAGGCGATCTGATTGTGCCTCCTGGGTTTGATCTGTGCTCTGAAGCCCTTTCTTAATCTGGCAATCGTGGAGAGGCTGGGAAAAAGAACCAGTTTTAATTTTGAACCCAGCAAGGCCCGGTTTCTTTATATTTGCTCCAAGTCTCACTTGAGAACCGAACGATTCCTTTTTCAGATCTTCTCTCTCCTCTCTCATTTTATCACGTCATCGAGAAAAGGCTCACAGGCAGGATGCCCAAGAGCCCGCCTGGAAATCTCCACGAGATCCAGTCCGTTCAGTCCAGTCGTGTTCTCTGCTTTAGTGCAGGCCCCAGTGCTGCCAGGCTCTCTGCTGCTCCATCCCAAGGGCCCGGGAACCCTGTCCTCGCTTCCCTCTTCCGTCTGTCACGGACTCCTCAAGGCCATTCTGACTGTGCCTGCTGCCCAGCTGGGAAGCCACTGCACGTGTCGGTTTCCGTTATGGCAGCACCCCAATTCCAGGTGGGGTGCATAACCAATCATTCCAAAACGTGCTGGCTTAAAGCAACAGTTTATTTTGGTCACACATCTGCAATCTGGGCAGGCTTTGCAGGAACAGTCGCTCAGAGTCAGTTGAGAAAAGCTCACAGGCTCTTCTGAAACCCGGGCCGCACACGCAAAGAGCGGGGCATCGCTCATCGTCTCTGTGGTCTCTCCAGCTGGGCACTCTGGTGCCACCCGATCTCTTACGTGTTGGCACAGGGAATCCAAGCTGCGGGTCCTCACACAGGAAGACAGCCAGGAGGAGGCTGCACTGCCACGTTCCACGGCCTCACTTCACCACAGCCGCAGGCCTCTTGGTTCATGAAGACTGGATATACATCCCGACACTCTGGGGGAGTGAACATCTTGTGAGAGGAGCAGACCATCGGGCTGGACCAGTGGGGCCACCCCAGAAACTACCTCGTGCCACGGCCCCGCACAACCCGGCCATCACCCCTCAGCTCCTGTTCCTCCTTGCTGTCCACGAGCCAGCGGGGACTGAAGCCGCTCTCTGGGTGTGGCATGTGCGGCCCTCAGCGTTGTCTCCTGCCTCCTCCCATCAGGTCTGCTTGTCCTGTCCATCTCAGCAGAAGCTTTGCTCCCTCCGACGAGCTTCCCTTCAGGTATGGGGGTCACTGGCCTGTTATCCTCCCACCTTCCACGGTATATCTCAGGTTTTTGGTCATTCACGCCATCACGGATAATAGCGAAGGCCGCCGTCGTCTTCCCTAGGCCAGAATCTCCACGAGGGCAGGTTCTGCGCCTGTCCCGTGCACGGCGCATCCCAGTGTCTGGCACCGTGCGTCTGTGTGGAGCATTCACTGGGGCTCGGTGGCCGATTTATTAAGAAACCTTCAGCTTACAGCACCTCCTACAAAAGGCAGGCATCCCCACCATGGGACCCTTACCTCCAGGGTTCCTCGTGTCCTGCTCGCTCTTGTCTCCTTGGCCTGGAAGTGTGCCTAGCAGATAGCGGGCTCTTGTTACCTGTTTGTTGAATGACTGAATAAGTTCCTCAATGAGACAGAAGCCTGAGTGATAAAGGGCTCTGGGCAGCTCAGTTCTAGAGGTTGTGTCCACCAAAAGGCCTGTGGCTTCCCAGTCCCTGGTGGATGGAGATTCCGTGGCATAGGGGCGCTCACCTCCCTGGTCCTTGGGCCAGGGAAGACAGGTGTGCGTGTGGCGTTACGTCCCAGGGTCAGAGAGCAAATATGAACCACGACTGGAGCGACAGGCTCGCGCATCAGTTTCAGTGACGGCTTGGCCGTTTATTCATTCTGTCACTTGGCACAAGCCGCTCCGGTGCGCAAACTCCCGCTCTTCCGAGAGGAGAAGGAAATCACTCGTTGATTGAATAAGGAAGTACGATTAAACATTTTGAGCCATATATAATCATTTTGATGTCGAAGTCAAGATATAAAATAAAGAACAATATCTTCATTTCTTTTGTGTCAGACAGACAGCACCACGGTTCACTTTTAATGCGAGCATTCCTCCCATTCACTGTATTCATGAGACCTGATGCAAGGCTTGGTGTTTTGGGGAGAACGTTGAGATAAAGATGAGGCCCTATTTGTGTGCCACACGGAATGAGGGGAAGCACCAGTGGGAAGCTTTTCCGGGGAACTGGGGCAGCTGCGGCCTCTTGCTCATGTCATGGTGCCCCCAAGGGCCCCCCCGGGCATCATGAGAGGTTGCAATCGGGGATCTCAGGCTGCTTCCACGTGGCCCCAGGAGTGGGTTTGTGGTGGCCTTGGGGCCTTGTGACATGATCTGTGTGAACTGAGAGGCTCTTGTCGCTGCCGTGGAGCCCCCGACAGCCAGAGGTGACGTTGGATAGCAAACAGGATGAGCACAGAGGCATGGGCAGCATCTTTGCACGTGTCCTGTTTATTGCCATGTCCGGGAGGCAGCAGCAGGAGCAGACACACATCAGAGAGCTGTCAGCGTGACGTCGACAGTCTACCCAGCCTGACCACCAGAAGGGCATCTACTGTGTCTTCTGCTGTGTCATGGAATTTGTAGAAATCTTTACCAATTGTTGGATCTTACATTTGTTCTTCGTCTGTTTCATATTTCTGGAATTGAGATAGCGCAGTGTAGTAAAAAAGGGGCCACCGGGATCCTGGTTCTAAGTAAGTATCAACACTAATTAGCTGTGTGACCTTGAGCAGGTCGCTTAACCTCTCTGGGTGTTAATTTCATCCTGTTTTTGTGACAGGCGGGGGAAGGATGCTCTCTCCAGCCTCTTTCAACTCCAACGTTCTGAGTTTGGGGAAGGATTCTGGGGCTGGTCAAACCCGAGACTGCGGACACACTGAGATACAGCAGGTTTTGAATGGCAACAATTTTTTCTTCAAACCTATAACCTAAATCAGGCCCAGGATTTAGCTCAATTTGATTTTTAAAATTGATGCTTCACTTTCAGGACTCTGTGCCTAATAGCCTGCAGATATGAGGGGGCCTTGGTTTTACCATATTTTTCTACTGAGCACTCCTCTTTTTGGGGCCCAACTAAACCACACACATGCAGACATACACGTGAATGTGCACACATGTACACACACATGTGCATGGATATACACACAGGCACCAGAGAGACGTGTATATGTATGATTTTTTTTATTCTAACAGTAATACATGTTGAATATAGATTTAATTTGAAGATACCAAAATTATGAAAAAAGAAATCACTCCTATTCTCACTATCAACATGTCTTTTAAACTTTTTGGTATTTTTCTCAGGGTTTTTTTTCCCATGTTTTCCCCCGTGTGTGTGTATATACAGACACACACACACCCACACCTCTCTCTCTCTCTTTTTAAATGGCGTGTGCTATTTTGTGACGTGGTCTTTAAATTATTGTTTGGTTGAAGCCTTTTCACACATCCTTAGAAACATTGGGAAGGTGGTTTTTAACGACTGTGTATGAATATAATGTAATTTATTGATCAGGCGCCTTGCGTCCTGTTCCAACATCTTGTGAATGAGAAGGCTCTGGACAGCGTGTGTGTCCTTGAGTGCCTGGAGACATCCCTGGTTTTCCAGGAGTGGGGCCCGGGTCTGAGTCGCTGAGCACTTGATGCTCTGGGTGAGGCTGGGTTTCGACAGGGTGACCAGATTGTCTAATGAGCGTGTCCCCCGAGAGCTCGTGTGTGCAGAGTGCACCCTGTGGAGTCTCGAGGCACCGCCAGCATGCGTAGGAGACCACACGCTTGTGAGTGAAGGAGGCCCAGGAGGTGCAGTTTGATAAAGCGTTGTGTTCTTGCGCTCTGAGTGGTACCCAAAGTGTGTCCTAGAGTCCATGGAAGCTTCTGGAAACATCAAAGCTCCTGGAGGAGCTGCTGTTGCTGAGGGCTGAGCTGTGAGGGGCAGGGCTGCTCCCCAGAGACCCCCCCAAAGGGAAAGGGGCCGGCAGCCAAAGCAGGCTGCGTGGTGAGAGGAGGCCCAGCACGGACAGCAGGAGCGCCCTTCGGCTCCTCTGTGAGGTGTCCGTCTACCTCGGTGAGGACATGCCGTCAGCAGCACATCGGAACGGAGATGGAGCTGTGCTGAGGTTCTGCACAGAGACGACGGGACCAGGCCTGCCAGACCCCGTCGCTGCCTGGTTTCATTGCTTCAAAACCGCCCTGTGCACCCAGGGAGTTTCCACCTCTTCGTGGAACTTCAAACCCTGGACAGACGGCCCGGGAGATGCTGTCCGGCTGCCTCACCACCATACACACAAGTCACAGTCTTCCCTGAGCTTTAACTTAGGTGGCTGACTGCGGGATTTGCCAAAGTAGGAGCATCGTTTTCTAGAAGAATCATTTTTGTGAGACTGAAGTGTCTGCTCACATCCTGAACTCACCACAGCCATTAATTCCTAACCCACATTTTAGGAACAAAATGCAATAAAAATCAATATGGTGGTGACCTTCATCTGTAAACCATATTTAGTCAGATGTTAAAAGAGTTTGCAGAGACAGCAAATAATAACACAAAGCTTCCTCAGATTCAGTCTCAGATACAGTTACAAACATTTAGTTTTGACATCCACTCTCATACCGGCCCTGTCAGGACCATCCTGATGTGGAAGGTCTGTTTTCTGGCTCACATTGGTGAACCCAGACTTGTCAGAATATTGGTCTTGATTTCTGCTTCAAAAATAATGGCTAAAATACCACCACCGATAACCGATCAATGATCATTTCGTCCACCCGCCTTTCCCATTGAGTCATCCTCATTGGTTAAGAACACGCCACCATGAGTCGAGTTTGGATACATTCCATCGTCTTTCTCCCTCATCTCTCCGCCAGCCTCTCTCATCCATGCCAGGCGTCTCCTCTCCGGGCATCAGAAGGGGAGGCGCCCTTCTGCACGGCTGTAATTATATGAACCAGACCGCAGGTTTTTCCTGGTCCTAAAGCGGTTCATGCTTGTTGCTCAGTAACTGCTAGGCCTGGAGAGGAGGTACGAGTTAAATAACAGTGTCTTTTTGAGAACTGTGCTGACGTGTTGACGGTGCAGGTTCAGTGGGGGAGGAAAGATGGCACTCGTTTTGTTAGGTCTTAACCAAACTGAAACAGAACAGAAGTTGGAGAGGAGGGTTTCTCCAATATTTTCAATTTATACCAACAATGGTATATTAACTAGTGAGATTAATGGAAAGACACTGGGTTGGGGTATCTGCTTGTTTCTAATTCAGCTCTGTGAGCACCTGGTGTCTGATCTTGGCCTAGGCTCCCTCGTATAAAACCAAGAGCTTAGAACTGTAAAAATTACAAAGTGTGAGTTTTTATATAAATTCCCCATATTTCAATTTGACTAGAACTTTAAGCATCCTGAATAAGTTCCTCAACTACCCCAGCACTAAGAATAAAGAAACAAGAGTATGATGACCTAGGGGTTAACTCCACTTCTTTATGTTTAAGGATATTTGGCCTATTAGTTTTCGGTAGTGGGCCAGATTAACTATTTAATTGATAAACACTGGTAGCTACTTAAACTTACAGAATGATATTTTAAATTGCAAATTGTAAAATATCTCAAATACTATAAACAATGTGATCAACGAAATGCTCATGTATCCCAGTAAGATTTAATACCTGTTATTATTTGCCATTTATGCTTTAAATCTTTAAGAAACTGAATGATACAGTGCAGGGGAAGCTGGGGGAAGTCCTCCCTTCCTTCTTCAGAAGCAACTTCTTTACCAGAATTCATGCCTGTCCTTTTCACACTTCCATAAACAACATAGAGTATCTTTTTCATGTTTAAAAACGTACATATATGGTCTTATACAGTATCTTTCTGCAAACTACAAACTTTCAAAAATTCAAAATTGTATCCGAAACATATTCATATTGATACATGTCGATCTAGTTCATTCATTTTAACGTGGGTGGTCGTTTGGGCAATGATACAAAACCAGTCTAAAAGTAGTTTAATCCGTTCTTTTTGTACAAAAGGACGCAAGACTGGTCACGTTACTGTCCTCTCATCTTCACAAACCATCAGTGGGTTCCCAGTATAATTAAGGTGACAAGACTCCGTGGGCCTGGCCCCAGGTCCTGCTGACCCCACAGGGCTCCTGAGTCCGTCAGCCTCCTTCAGCTCCTGGAACTGGTCAACCTTGTCCCCATGGGAAGGACGTCGTCCTGCTGTCTCTTCTACCCCCATTATCTGGCGAACTCCCTCTCTTCTCTCGGGTTTCAGCATACACTCATGTTCTCAGAGGAGTCTTACCTGATCCCAGAGTGGAAATCTGGTCCTCCGTCCTCATCTCTCGGGATCTGGTTCCCACTTCCTTCACAGCACTCACCCTAGTTTGTAACCCGCTAGAATTCGTGTCGTGGCTTAAGTCTTGCCTTTCTCACTAGACCACATGCTCGGGGCGGGGCTGGGACCGAGTCTGGTTGATTCCTTGCTCCTTCTTAGTGCCTGGCACCCTTCCTGGTACATCATAGGTGTTCCATATATATCCATGCAATAAATGAGCAAATGAGTGAATATTGTTAATTATCAACATTGAGGTGTCCATGGGAATTCAACAGATTGAACCATTGTGGAAAATTGTGGGATTTATTTAGCCCAGGAAATCTCTCATTTCTGACTCCAGCTTTCCATCACCAGTAGGACACTCAGCTTTGACTTCAGTGGATGCATAAAACAGATTTATTTTATTTACTTTTTCTTTCCTTTTTTTGAGGAAGATTAGCCCTGAGCTAACATCTGCTGCCAATCCTCCTCTTTTTGCTGAGGAAGACTGGCCCTGAGCTAACATCTGTGCCCATCTTCCTCTACTTTCTATGTGGGACGCCTGCCACAGCATGGCTTGACAAGCGGTATGTAGGTCCACACCCAGGATCCGAACCAGCAAACCCCGGGCCACCGAAGTTAGCAGCTGCTCCACTGGGCAGGCCCCCCCCCCCCATTTATTTTAAAATAGTCAAGTTTACCCAAATATTGCTTAGAATTGGATCTCACAGGTAAAAATTTCAGGATAGTTTGCAATTCATGTCTCTCTTCAGAGTCTCAGTGATTCTATGTAGAATCAGCGTTCACACTTCGTTTGGCTAAATCACTAATCCTTGAATCTTGAGCCCCAAGGAAAAGGACTCTCTTCCTATTTCAGAATATTCCGAGCTGGCACCCCGAAGGCACTTTCAGAAGCCTGCAGCGTAATTTCACTCATTGAACCTGGAGACTCTTCGGAATGAATACACACATTTACTCTCATCCATTTTTCTCTCAGTTCTTCCGTCTGTGACTGCAGTGGGCACAGGACGTGCGGTAACTAGAAACAAGGCGGCACCAGTGAGTGGCTGTCTGCGTGACCTTGCTTTGATGGCGTCTGAAGCCACGGCGCTTCCTTGAGCACATCAGCCGTGGGCTTGGGTTCCTCCTCTTCCCAGTGTGGTACCTGCGGGTACACCATCGCCTCACCTGCAGAGGAGCGTCTTGTGAGCCAGGAAGCTCTGACACTGCGTGCATCTCAGAACCTTTGGATTAAAAATAATAACCCCTGATGTGATGAAGGAAGCAAGCAGTAATCTATTCAACCAGTGTCCATGGCCCAGTTGTTCAGCTGGATTAGTGTAAATTTAATCTCCACGCTGTGCTTCAGCTTCCTCCAGAGAGCTGGTAACTGGTAAGGGCTGAGGGCGCAGGCACCCCTCCTCACAGCGCGTGGCGAAGATGACCACGGAGATGGGAGCCCTCATCCTCGGGGTGGAGACCTTGGGGCTGGAATCTGAGCCTTCAACCAAGCTTCCTAACTTCCTGCCCAGCAGGAGTCAACCCCTGGGAACTCACGGGCCAGCTGACTCAGGGAGCAGCTGCGATAGTCTCAGGCGCTTTTCCCGAGGCCACCTGTGAAGTGCTCCAGAGATGGGAGACAGGAGAAGACGACTTTGCTTTTGGTCTGTTGCTTGGTCTTTTGAGACCAGTCATTCATATTGCTGGGCGTCCAGCACTTTCTCATCTGTTGAACGAAGATCGTGGTGATTCTCCTACTCTTTGTATGAATGGTTGAGAAAGCGATGTGAGGGTCACCACCAAGGCGCCAGGGCTTGTCTGGACGCACGTGGGTGGGGTTGCTGGTGCTGTTTCTATCCCGTTAGGGGCTCTGAGTGACTGGGAACTGCATCGTTCTCCGGGGGGGAGCTCTCCCTCATGCATGCTAACCAGGGGCCGGGACCTGTGCTGCGCCAAGCTCTTTATACACGTCCCATCTAATCCCCAGGGAAACCTAGGGACATAGGTATTTGATCTGGGTCAGAATTATTTAGTTTCCAGGCACAAGCATCCTACTCATGTTAGCTTAAGCCAGAAATGGAATTACTAGCTCCCATGCCTCAGAAGCCGAGGCTGAAGCTGGCAGTGGGTATAACTCAGTCCAGGGGTCTCCTCCTAGATTTTTTTGGTTTCCCTGCCCTGACCTAACATCCACTGCTAATCCTCCTTTTTTTGCTGGGGAAGATTGGCCCTGAGCTAACATCCGTGCCCATCTTCCTCTATTTTGTATGTGGGGCGCCTGCCACAGCATGGCTTGATGAGCGGTGCTAGGCCTGCGCCCAGGATCCAAACCAGCAAACCCCAGGCCTCAGAAATGGGACATGTGAACTTAACCGCTGTGCCACCAGGTGGGCCCCTCCCCCTAGATTTTTGCTGAGATTTTGCTTTCTTTTCTTCTGCTGAAGACCAGCTTTCCCTTGATTCCTGCTCCATGGCCCAAAAGACAAGGGCCTCTCTCCTTCTGCATCCTCCTGAAGGCCGGTAGGTCTGAGGCCTCTCTCCTTCTGCATCCTCCTGAAGGCCGGTGGGTCTGAGGCCTGCTCTCCTGGACCGAGCTCAGGGCGGGGGGGGGGAGGGGGGACACTTTGCTGGGCTGGGCCTGGAGCAACCCTCTAATTTATAATTATCAAACCAGTATATGTTTATTTTAGAAAATATAGAAACTCGGCATAGTTATACTGAAGGTGATAAAAGCTATCTCTACTCCAACATCCAGAGGAAACCACCCATCCCTTTTAAAAAAGAACGTATTTTGTGAGCGATACCATATTTCATTGATAATACCTCAGTGTGTGGCATCCTTGGTAGAGCTTAAGAACTCGCTTTTATATGGTGGGCTTTTCTGTTTTATTTTGTTTTTAAAATTATATCATTTTTTTGGTGAGGAAGAGTGGCCCTGAGCTAACATGTGTTGCCAATCTTGCTCTCTTTTTTTTTCTCCCAAAGCCCCTCAGTCCATAGTTGTATATTCTAGTTGTGGGTCCTTCTGGTTGTGCTGTGTGGGATGTCACCCCAGCATGGCCTGATGAGTGGTGCCATGTCTGCGCCCAGGCTCTGAACCGGCAAACCTGGGCCACCGAAGCGGAGCATGTGAACTTAACCACTTGGCCACAGGGCCTGCCCCTATATGGTGTTTTAATCTGGATGTTTGCAGAGTTGTTTTCTGTTGTCTCCTTGGTTCACATTCATTCATTCATTCATCAATCAAGCGTTTACTGAATGCCCTTGCCGAACTCGTCACTCAGCAAAGGACAGAACGATTAATGCAACCTTCCCGTCGTAAGTTCCACGTCCTCCTGGAAAAGGATGACACACACGCGTCTAAGGAATGATACTGGGTGTGATGCTGAAGTAGGGCATTTTGTGCAGATGCAGACTACAGGGTCGCCGACACAGGACGTGAGGGCGAATGGCAGAGAAGGCACCACAGGGCCTTCAGCTTCGAAGGAGCAGGATTGTGTGGCAGAGGCCCTAAGTCGTCAGTACACACGTGTTCGCCTATGCCTGGTTCCCCGGGGAGATGAGCAGTTCTGTGCCTCCGGCGGGCGGAGGAGGGGCAGCTCCCTCGGCCGGGGTGAGAGAGCAGACGGCTCAGTGCCTTACTTGCCAGCCCAAGAGTCTGGACTTTGAGAATAGCCATTGCATAAAAGCTTTTCTTCAGGAAATTCTCAATGTTGCTTCTTCAAGTCCTGCCAGATCATTCAACCCACTGTTACTCCCCTGGATGACTCCCACACAGGCGTGCTGGGTAGGTGCTGGCAGGGCCAGGTCAGCCTGTCCCAATGCAGCGTGCCTCCGGCTGCCTCCCTCTGCTGCATCCTCACACCTGGGGGAGCATGCAGTTACTAGAAGTCTGCTGACAGGATGCACCAGGCACCGGGCTAGACATCGGAAGGGTCTGTAGGCTCTGATCAAACCAAAGCACGGAGGCAGCGGATGTTGGCTCCTTCGTGGTCGGGATTGGTAACAATAATCTCAGAGGCGTTGGGCGTGCAGCTTCACAGCCTGGGTGCTGGAGCCAGGCTGCGGTTCGATTCCTGGCTCTGCCCCTTGCTACCTGCGTGGCTGGTTAATCGTACAAAGCTGGTGAAGTGGCTTCACAGCTCATTTCCTCTCCTGTAAAAGGAAGCTGAGCAAAACGACAGCTCACAGAATGGTCACACGTGTTTGTGTGGTATGACACACGTGAGAACAGCGCCTGGCAAAAAAGACGTCAGCAATGACATGCTTATTATTGCTAGCGTGTAGGCAGTTATGTTCCAGTTCACCTCGTCTTTTAGGAAGGTCCTCCCTGAAAAATAAGTTAAAAATTATAGAATGTAGTCTGGTGGAATAGACTCTGCTTAATGTCGCTCGATCTCTGGAAGGACACCCACTTATTCATTTAATGACTCAACAGACGATGCCACCCCCTAGCCACCCTGGCCATTTCTAAACAACACAGGACCTGGTGCATAAGTGTGGCTGGTGTCTCCTGCTTGAAGCATGTTGCAGAAATCTTGGAGACAGAGACAAGGACATTCCACATTTCACATCCTCCAAGATGCGATACTGCACCTGGCTTTTAGCAGCCCGGCAGCAGAGTTAACGGGATGCATTTTGAAATAAAAAGTTAGCTGTGACTGATGCCTCCTCGTAGCCAGCTTTGGACTGTGTAATTCCACACACGTCGTTTTGGTGGTCCTCCTAAAACTCTATTCTGTTGGTTGAGGAGTCCTGGGAACATGTGACTCGGGGTGTAGGGAAGGTCATGAGTTGATAGGACACATGCAGCCACCCTGCAGCCTGGGCTGGCTTTCCTCCCCACCAGCCCCTCGAGGCCACCGCCACCCATGGACTGTCCTCTGTACCCAGAAACTGCCAACTCACTTTAAATGGGGCCCAAAGAAGACATAAGATTGGGAAACAATGTTTTTATGAACAACTGATGCAAGTCAAGACTTTCTATGCTCAGATAGAAATCCTGAGGTTGCCTACCCGTTTCTAAGCTTTCATAATTTTCCTTATGTTAACCTCACAATTTATTGGCTGTTTGTTGTGTGAAGGGCTCTTTCTGGTGTGGAAGGCACCCAGTGGGCGCTGCACAGGTGCTGTTCCCGGGGACCCTGATCTGACAGGTGTGTGGCTACCAGGAGATGTACATGAACAAACATAGCGTGAGGTGGAAGACACTGAGAAGGAGTTCCTTAGAAGCATTACACGGGCTGGCCGAGTGGCCAAGTGGTTAACTTGGCGCACTCTGCTTTGGCAGCCTGGGGTTTCGCCGGTTTAGATCCTGGGTGTGGACCTACGCACTGCTCATCAAGCCATACTGTGGCAGCATCCCATATAGCAGAGCTAGAATGGGATATACAAGTATGTCCTGGGGCTTTGGAGAAAAAGAAAAAATAAGAAAAGCGGAAGATTGGCAACAGATATTAGCTCAGGGCCAATCTTCCTCACCAA